GATGATGAAATGGTAAGCCAAATCAGCACCACAGAGGAGTTAATATTAAAGAGAGCACAGGTTCGATCCTTCACTTGACGACAAAATTCGTACGTTCTCACGAAACCTTCTCAAAAAAGCCTCAGAAACTGCCTCGGAACGGTCAAAGGATGGTGGTGTAGGTCAGTACGGCAACTATGCAGCTGCCGATGTTGAGGCGAACGAAATCTTCGGCGCAAACGTGAAGCGACTCGAGGAACTTAAGCACAAGTACGACCCCGATAACCTGTTCAGTCATGGCACAAAATTGACTCCGCGTCCCTTGGTAGTGGTGAATTGAGTACTCCCACCATATGTGCATATATACAACACGGGATGAAATGTATCGAATCAGATGCGTACAAAATTCAGTCTCCGGTTTACTACTATCTATTTACCACGATGATGCTTTGTTTACCAACAGCTCAGTACATACTTTTATGTACTTTCCTTCGTCTCGGCTCGAGGTCGGAGTTACCACATCGGATATATATCTACACTACACGACGCGACAGTAGCGCCGGAAATCAGCAACCCCTGACGTCACCCCATACCACCGGCCTCTACAATATTACCAAGCTTCTACGCCACACTCAGATAACCCTGCACGACTAACCGTATCCACTCCTTTTCAGTCTGCGCTCGGGAAATAATGTCTACCGATGCACCGACAGTATCTGAATCAAAGGACCAACGTTGTGGGGCACGCGATCCACGGAGATTCGTCCTACACGTGCTTAAAACCGAGCGTGCAGACTCTATCAAAATCGCGAAGTTCGCCGCATGCAAGTTCTGTATCTGTTCACTTTCCAAGCTTGAACGCCGGCATAGCGACACTGTTTCCCTCACCACAACCTTCTCTATCGTTGAAAAACACAGACGAGTTATATTTATATACATGGAAGTTCACGCCCTACACTAGTAATCATAGTCTGCTACACGTATTTGACAGCATACCCAGTCTTTGTGCACGCCTCTTCTCAGTCTCACGTCACCATGGAAAGCACAAGACGACCACGAGCTCAAAGATCATCCACGTGCCGATCAGTATCCCGACAACGGCGACTCGACAACGCACCATTACATCGTATCTTGTCCAGTCAATTCCCAGACGATCATTCGGTTTATCACCATGAAGATGGCGAGGGAACCCATGTCGACGAGGACGCCAGTTCATTGCACAAGACTGAGACTGAAAGGCGAGACGAGAACTCGTCCAGTGACAACGACGACGGCGGCGACAGCGGCGATGACAAAGGTGGGAAAGAAGTAAAAGACGATACCGCTCAAGAGGAAAATACGATTTACAAGGAGATACGGGGTGGTATTCCATACGAGCGTGATGTGGTGGCACTATCACGTTTAGAAAAGCAAAAGTCTACGCGGTCCGTCAAAGACCCAAATTTGGTATATTCTACCTGACAGACATTGACTGCTACTGTAACATCTAACATACATAAGGTCACATGGGATTCAGAGTTCGACCCACATAATCCAAAGAACTGTAGGTTTGGTCTCCCCAACTAAGCACAGATAAGTTGTGGTCTAACAGCTGGTAGGGTCCATGAAGCGGAAATGGGCAGCAACTATCATTGTCTCTTCTTTTACCCTCGTCTCGCCAATATCCTCGTCCATGATCTCGCCAGCTCTGAGCAGCATCAGTGCTGAATTCGGCATCACAAATGAAGTCGAAGCCCAGCTTACCTTATCCATCTTCGTTCTGGCGTATGCAATTGGACCGCTGTTCCTAGGCCCACTATCGGAGATCTATGGACGAGTCATCGTCTTGCAGCTGTCAAACTTGTTCTACTTGGCTTGGAATTTGGGATGTGGATTTGCTCAGACATCTGGCCAGCTCATGGCATTCCGATTCTTCAGTGGTTTAGGCGGATCTGCACCATTAGCTATTGGTGGTGTATGTACTCTCTTCCTGAAAAATGCCGTTGGAAGATAAAACGCTAATTGACTTACTAGGGTGTTCTTAGCGATTGTTTCCTTCCCGAGCAGCGTGGCCGAGCCATAGCAATCTATTCACTGGCTCCATTACTGGGCCCGGCTATCGGGCCTATTGCCGGTGGCTTCATCTCTCAAAACACGACTTGGAGATGGTGTTTCTACGCCACCACGATCTTCACAGCAATAGTGCAATGTCTCGGGTTCTTCTTTCTGCAAGAAACATACGCACCAAAGCTCCTTGAGTGGAAGCGAAACAAACTGCGTAAAGAGACAAGCAACGAAGAACTACACACTGAGTTCGATAATCCTGATCGAACGCTTGCAACAACTATTAAAATCGCCATGAGAAGGCCGTTCAAGCTGCTCATCACCCAGCCCATTGTGCAAGTTCTAGCTTGCTACATGGCCTACCTGTATGGCCTCATGTATCTGATGCTCTCGACCTTCCCCAGCTTATGGGTCACGCGCTATGGCATGACTATAGGGATTGGTTCTTTGAACTTCATCTCCATGGGCATGGGCTTCTTCCTCGGCACACAGATCACCGCACCCCTCAATGACGCCCTCTACCGCCGCCTAAAGAAACGCAACAACGGCATCGGTAAACCAGAATTTCGCATTCCAATCATGATCCCTGCGTCTCTTCTCGTTCCAATCGGCCTTTTTTGGTATGGTTGGAGTGCACAAGCGCAGGTACATTGGATCATGCCTAATATCGGTGCTGCGATATTTTGCGCGGGTGTTATTGTGGGGTTTCAGTGTATACAGACTTATCTTGTTGACAGCTATACACGGTACGCTGCGAGTGCTATCGCGGCGGCGACGGTGCTCAGGTCGTTGGCTGGGTTTGGATTTCCGTTGTTTGCACCGGCTATGTATGACGAGTTGGATTTTGGATGGGGAAATAGCGTGCTGGGCTTGATCGCCTTGGCTTTGGGTGTCCCAGCGCCGTTCATGCTATGGAAGTTTGGGGAGAAGTTAAGGAGTAGTAGCAAATTTGCCGCGGGCTGAAGGTGTCGCAGAAGCGTCAATACCCGCCTCGTAATGTGGAAAGCAACGCGCGGGGACTTCATGTTGCGAAATCAGATTAGACGAGAGGGCTAATCGAAGTGGACTACTTGAAAGCATACTAGAATAGCCGCACGCTATCAGTCGTGACTTGAGTTCGTCATTCTCAAACACGTTCTTCGTAAAACACAAGTCGTGAGCGACAAATTGTCTCTATCATTCCGCCCTTTGTCCACAGCCTAGCTATGTAGAGCTATTTTTTCAGCTGGTACTAAAAGTATGTCCGACGCGACGGCCCATGACGCCAACTGCGTGTCCATCTCAGTCGTCAATTTCGTAATGCAGCGATACATTGAGCCAGCTTCGTCAGTTCCACCTCTCAGTCTTCCTAATCACACCCTGGAGTACAGCAATTAGAGCATCCGTAAATATATCCAAAATCGACATGTAAAGAAAGCATCGTGAGATGACGGCTGCAGCTTTATCGTCACCCTGAGCATCTTTGGGGCGTCGCCGACACACCAGCCGGGCAACACTCCAGCGAAGCACCTCAAAGCTATCTCAATCATCCCGCATACCAGAGCGCGCCTTCAATGACCAGCCCAAAATAAGACCAGGCCCCAGTCTTAGTCAAGATCGCATTCTCCTCTTGGTTGAGGTGTCTGACAAGCTACCTAGGGAGTGGGGGGTGTGCGATTGGGACCGTGCCCTAGCAACCCGCGAACTTCCCCGCATAAACACACTTTTGCTCGACCAGTACTTGCGCCGCAGAGGCCGTTACTCTAACAACCTTTCGCGTCGAGCCCTCAGATACTCTACATAATACCGAAATGTCCGACGAAGATCTCGAGCAGATAAGACGCGCGCGCCTGCAGCAGTTACAACAACAGGGCGGGGGAAGCGGAGGACAAGGAGGCGAAGGCGCCGAGCAAGATTCGCGAAAGTAAATACAATTATACACGAAGATCAAGGTTTCTTACTAAGGCAGAGTTACAGGCAGCAAGAGGGTACGTTTTCAGAATCTCTCCTGGCGCAGACATGCATCACTTGACCACACACTCCCCCTTCGCCCACTCGTCCAAACCCCGCCGTCCACTAGCAACCACGGGCTAACCCTTCCCATCAGCCGACCAGCGTTCCTCCATCCTCTCACAAATCCTTCTCCCCGAAGCAGCCGACCGTCTCGGCCGTATCCGCCTTGTCAAGGAATCGCGCGCAACCGACATCGAGAACAGACTTATAATGCTTGCGCGGACTGGCCAATTACGACAGAAGGTTACAGAAGATCAGCTCAAAGAGATACTGGGGGCTGTAGCAGAGCAACAGGAGAAGGAAGAGCAGAAGATTGTTGTCAACAGGAGGGGAGGGAACTGGGACGATGATGATGAGCTCGAGGAACTCATGAAGGATGTATAGGGAAGCGAGGATAGGTAAACAAAGGGAGAGAGACACACACAGATGCTGGGTGTTGCATTAGGCGGTGCTTCTGGGACATGCAAGGCAGGTAGTCTTGCGCATGAAAGCTAAGGTACGACTTCTCATGGCAACTTCACGACGTGCATCAAGTCGTACATGATTTGTGACTATTATCCATCTGCCGGTGGTTGTTCAATACTCGCTACTTAGTGCTCAATCATGACGAATGATAACCTGTGGATTAGTGAAGAAGCAAGCACAAGAGAAGAACAACATCAGATGTGCCGTTCGATAAAATCGCAGCCGCAAATGGGAGTAGTACCACCATCCGCTTGGTGCAAACAGTGTGCGCAGTTGAAAAGAGGGTTCGGACGAAGTGAGGCTATAGATGCCGCGTGAAAGACTCAAACAGTGTTCTAATGCTAGGTAAGCGTGGGTTTTTACCAGTATACCATCTTCCGAGTGTTATCTGAGGTATAGATGAACAAGCCAACCTGTCGCAAAGACCATGACAAGCATTTGCATGTAACCCCCAAATGAAAGTACCGGATTCGATCACAAGCGCGATCTTGGAGTTGTCGTAGGCATTGAAACCAATGATCTCACGTCGCTGCCATCCTGGCCATACCCTCCCTATCCTCCGCGCTCAAGGTATTGGCCTTGGCAGCTTCCTTCCATCTCTCAAGCTGCTCATACTGCTCATACTCCAGCTTGCCTTTCAATAACTTCAACAGCTTTGGTGTGAACTTTCCCGTTGCATATACGACACCATCGTACTGCTTTGCGAAGAGCAAGATCACTAGCGTTAAGAAGAGTACGGGGCCGTCGGAAGCTTTTTGTTTCTTGATTCGGCGAAGCATGTCGTCGAGCATCGATTGCTTGGCAGCAGCCAGCGAATCTGTAGATGGATGGTTGATACCTTGTTTTTTGTTGAATTTCTCCAAAGCTGAAGATAGTGATGTATTATCCAGAGGCGTCGTGGACTCCAGCACACTCGAGAGCTTGGTAACATTCTTTCTTGTTTTGCGGCTGAGGACTAGACCCTGCGCTCGTGCTTTGGCAATAGTATCGGGTATAAGGTCCTTATGTGCGTAAGTTGCAAAGACCTGAGCAAGCTGGCTGTGCAATTTCTGGTCCATGACTGAAACTAAGCCGGCGCTGTATATCCGATATCGGGTGAGCATGCGATCTGTCCAGTACATGGCAAACTCCTCTTCATTCAGTGTTTCGAACGAGGACACGTGGAACCAGAAGCGCTCTTCTAATAACTTCTCAACTGGTTTTTGTTGGAGGAGAAGGCGCTGAACAAGGCCTGTGGGAGGAATCATGTCTTTGATCTTGTCTCGAGTGAATTTCACGTCTTCCACTAGGGTTGGATCGTCGTGTAGACTTTGCCATTGTGCCTTTGCAGCTTCTTTTGCGTAGCCAGCGAGCTCGTCGAGTGCTCCGTCTCGGCGCCTTTCAGTGAGTATCAGAGTGCCGACGCGCACTATCTTCAGCCCTCCAGTGGTCTCGGAGAAGTGAGCGACAATGGAGTTCTTGGCTCGGCCGGCCACCTGCTCCCTTATAGTTGGTGGAAGACGGGAGCCAATCACTTCGGTGACATCAAGGGTACAACCTTCTTGTTCAAGGATGCGTACGCAATCTTGCTCTAACCTGGAGATCCAGATCAGTGATACAGCGAAAGAGTCTATTACCTCAATGCCTGAGAGTTGCTGGAAGTAAGACAATGCGACTTGGGAAGACGGGAAAAGTTCGATGAAGTCGGAGGCGAATCTTTGCACATCGAGATAGGCAAGAGCGCCGGACTGCAGGTCGTAGACTGTGGTATCGCGTTCGGATTCTAGATATCGCTTGGGTGTGCACAAAACGCTAACGTCAGTTTCCTGGATGTTGACCTTGGAAGTAAGATTTTCAGACTGCAAGAGTCGCTCGAGAGTATGCAGAATGAACCATGTAGGGGGATTGTCAGGCAAATCAGCTGGTTTGATATTGAGAGTCCTGTACAGAGTGAGCATGCGATGCATCTAAGGCAAGTCCTGCACTTACCGGACATCATCGACCGTCTTTTGAATCATACTCTTTACTATGTCCGCGATCTTGTGAGCATAGGCCTTAGTGTAGATGTAGCCGTTAGTTTCCAGGACGTTATAATCTTGACTGGACAGGAGGAAGTCAAGACTCTTGGAAGAGACACGGTGCTGGGCAATGAATTCGGCCTTGGATGCCAGTCCCCCAGATGACAGGCGAGTGACTATCGTGTCTCGCTCATCTATGGGAATAATGCTTTCCTCGTCCGCGCTGAACAAACATAGCTTGGGGTGGCTGTGGACTAGTTGATGGACAAGTAATCGACCTATGTCGAGGTCGTTGGCCAATGTGGAAACCGGTATCCGCTCTGTCTCTGGTGCATGCTTCAGCAAATGTAGCCAAGAGAGATTACGAACGCTCACCTTTGGTCACGCGGCTTCTGAAACGAGCCTGGACAAACTGGAGCGTAACGAAAGCATGGCCGCTGGAGGATAGCACAAGCCGCGGAACAAAATCGGAAGTGTCTTGCGGAGGGAAGAGGGCGAAGATGTCCTTCACATCATGTGCGGTAAACATGCCAGCTGGACGTTGGGTAGCGCTGCAGACTAGATTGCCAACATGTACTGTTCAGGAACAGTGCTGTGAGCTCGAACGGTTCGGCGGCGTTGGAGTATATAGTGCAAGGGAAAGCGTCAGAGGCTGGATTGCGCTGATTGGTGGGGAGCGGGCAGCGGGCGGCAGAACACCGGGATTGAACAAGGTTGTGGCTCATGGTCGAGTGCTCGCAGACATTCAACCCATTCCGCCCACCGCCACCATGTCTCAATTCCGCGCGGCCAAGCTGGACATTGGATGTTTCGCAAAGATTCGCAATATCCGCGACCACACCAAGCGGAAGGTGTACTCGGAGAATGAGCCCGAACGGCATGCGCCTCTGCACCTAATGCTCCCATCGCGCAACGACTGACGACGACACAGACAAGCTCTGCGATACCTAATCCGCAATACCACCCTTCCGCAACGAGTCCGCGCGCAGGCTCAGCTCCAGCTCTCGCAGATGCACTGCTACACACGCTACACCCAGATCAAGAATAGGTGTATAATGGGCGGCAAGGGCCGTGGTGTCTTCAGCGACTTCAGAATGGGACGAGTATGCCATGGCATTCTCTTCGGGCGACGCAGGGCTGACGATCCTATAGTATCAATTTCGCGTAAACGCTCTCGCGGGAAACCTACCGGGCGTGAAGAAAGCAAGTTGGTAGGTGTGCTTCTACGAGAACCAGACTGTTTCCATGTACAATACTGTGAGGCGAGCATTGCGCCAATGTCACACACCTACTTTTGGCACTACATATGGCCTTGCACATGACCGCTCTTCGGGCGCAAACTGCGAGACTTTGCATGCGAAATCTTCGTGGTTGACCCATCGCACTGTCTACTTTGCCCTCACCTCGCTCTCTCACCGTGCGAATAACCCTTTCCTAATCGGTTTGCTCTCACCACGCGCTACAAACAACGGCAGCGGCAACCCACCGCGCCAGCAATAAAAGCCGACTTCCGTGGCCATTGCACCTACAATCCCTACTACAGCAATAGCTCTGGTTGCCGTTTTTTAACAACTCACTTCGCCGCTGTCTACGGTCCATAGACGCCCCCAAGCATCTGCGTCAGCATGTTCCGCCGCATAGAAGACACTCTGGAGCCGGATCCATCATTTCCAGCGGACCTCAACCAACTTGGCTTCTTCATCAACCTCTCAGGTGATATCCGTATGATCGACGCGCCCGAGAAGCCCTATGTCTACCACGCCACCAACAATGAGCGCGTCAACGAGGTGCGCCGCGAGGCCATGCAAAGTACATTCCAATCTCCATTGAAACACTCGCAGCTAACACATCACAGCCTGCCAGCGCAAGGAAGCAGAGAAGCGCCTGTCCTACCTCGGCCTCGAGTGCATCCACCTTCCCGACTTCGCCATGACCAAGCCCAATGGTCCACATGTACCTATCCTTGCTCCACCGCCTGACCTCCTCAAGACGCGAAAGCGATTGATTGTACTGGTAAACGACACCATGCAAGATCTAGGCATCCTGGCGTATAGACAGTTGCAGCGGGAACTCGGCATCAACGGTGGCTCAGTCGTCAACTTTGCCAAGGAGATGGTCAAGTGCTCGGACACTGACAACACCGCTGAAAGGGACGCGAAGATTTTCAAAGATGGTCATGTTCTCCAAGACAAGACTACCACTCCTGCTTTGATTGTCTTGAACGCGGGCCAGCTGCTGTACTCGCACAAGTACGACCAGGCCATGACTCTACGCAGTTGGTCCGCCATGCCACGCAAGTCAATCGCCCACGACATGGTCCGCATCCGTGACAACGAGAACCGTGTTCCAGGTCATGAAAATGCCAAGAAACATGTCAAGACTGTCTTTGACGAAGTCATCTGCAACCCCGATCGTGTTGCAGCCGACGCAGAAGTCTACGTCATCGCTATTGAAGACGGAACGGAGAGTATCTTGAACCTGCTCACGCACGACTGTACGTCTCCTGGCCCTGCTTTCACCTGAGGGGTTTACACTAACGTATTGTTATAGTCGGCAAGTATGGTACCCGTATCACGGCCATGGCGTTCATTCACTCCTTGATCGACGACTCCCAAATCAAAGATGAACAGATTCGCGCTTTCATGCATCAGCGCACACGTCAGTGGCGATTCAGCGATCTGACATGCAACCCCCAGCACTGTGTCGACTTACCGACTGACTACAATCGACAAGTCAACGGGCCTTGTTCTGCAGACACACCATCAACCATACAATCAATCAAGCACATGTCTTGGCACGCTTCGATTCCTACAGGCCCAGTCTCGGCTCTAACGAAGGCTTTCCACAGCCTCGCTCTCAGCGTCACCTCTTCGGCCGGGGCTTCCACTCCAACCGCAACATCAACCTCTACTAGTGGAGAAGAAAGCACAGAATGGTCCTCGGGTCAAGCTGTCATCTGCCCTACCTTCGCGGGCGGCGACAATTCGGTTGGTGAATGCATCTTTACCTACCCTCCCACCCAGCATGCCATTCTCTCTTTCTTCCAAGACGTCGCGCAAGACCCGGTCCACTATCGCAACCCACCTGGCCTCCAAATCTTTACCGAAGCCCCCAAGCCCAGCCCCGAAAATCCTCTTGCACTATCTTCAGACCACGAGAATGACGCTGGGCTCTACTTGCAAAATCTCTTGCCGCAGACGACGTCTGAGCACGCTGAGCTAGATGAAGCTCGCGAGCGGCTCGCCGAGTTACAAGTTGCCTTGTCTGCCTGCCCTACTGATGCTGCAGAGCTAGACAAGGGTCGCGTGAAGTTGGAAGTTAAGGTGAAGAGCATGGAGGCGAAGATTGAGTCTTTAGAGATCAAGGCGCTGAGTCACGGCGGACTGGCCGCGGGTGAAGTGGTCGAGAAGCGCGAGGATTGGAAGCCGCAGGTTGAGGGTCCCCAGGTACCATTTGCAGGGACCATGGTGGATAGTGAACTGTTGAAGGCGGCGGGGCTGATGGAGTCTGTGGATGAAGAAAAGGCTTTTGTTTGAATGGCGAATGGCAGCTCTAATCGTGTAGCGAAGATGAGGGGATGATGGCAAGTCCCGGATGGAAAGGACACAAAAGCGTTTGTTTTTCAGCCATCCTACGCACCACGAACTCCTCCTCTTGTCACGTCAGCACGAGGAAGACGTCTTTTGGCTGCTCGGCGATGGAGTTAGGGTCATCTACCTTATTTGCATCATGTCCTTGAGAATAAGACCACAGCCTCAATCTCGCTTATCGTTGTCCTCAGGCCTAGGTTCAGTACTCAACTGATTCCCGTTATAGAACTGTTGAGGTACATCTCTTGCCCGCTGGTCCGCCAGCGTTCTTACCCTCATCCCACCCGAAGTTGCCTGATCCAGCACAGGATCGTGACTGGGATCCCGGGTAGGTCTGCTGCCCATGGTACGACCACCACCGCCATGGTTGTTACTGCTACTACCATCACCACCTTGCTCGTGTTGCGCCCCGTAGCCTATAACGGAGCTGATGGTACTCCCCACGTAGCCAACAGTAGAAGTGAGAAGCCCAAAGGCCCCGCCAACGATGCCCGTCGCGGCTCCTGCTATACCTCCTCCAGTGCCCCCGGAATACGCATCCGAGTAACCCTTTACTGGCACCAGTACCAACGTCGCACTGGGCGCTAGATCAATATCGCCCAACTCGACGGCCTCGTCGCCGGCAGAGAGCTCACGACTGGGCGATGGAGCGAGTATATGTCGGAAAAAGTAAGGAGGCAGTTGTTTGTTGTTGATGTTCTCGTCATCCTGGGTCAATTTCCCAAACTCAGTGTCAACCCAGGACCGCACGTCAGTCTGCAGGGTGGCGGAGCGAGGGAATGTAGAGCGAATGGTGCGGCCATCGAACAAACGAACATTGAGAGCGACGGTTTTGGAGTTGGTGCCTCGCGAGGACGTTGGCACTGGCTGTGATGTGTCGGGGGCTCGTAGTGCGCCCTTGTTCCTCTCCTTCTCGCGTTCTGCTTTGCGCAATTCGGCATCTACTTTGCGCGCTGCTTTGTCGGCTTCTATTCGTGCTTTTATACGGGCTAACTCTTCGGCATCTTCTCGTTTCTTCTTTCGCAGGGCGTCGCGGGCTTCTTGTTGGGCTTTGGTGGCGGATGTGGATGGGAGAGTGGGGTGCTGGGAGCCTGTGGCTTTTTGCTTGCCTGGGGTGTTGGACGTGAGGGTGGGTAGTGAGGTTTCGGGGAGGCCATACAGGTCGTCTTCGGCTGCAGCATTCGCTATACTATTCGTAGGTTCTGGTGTGCTTGCTTGTGGGGGAGAGGTTGGTGCTGCGTTGGAGGCTGGGATGGGATTCGCTCCCAGGACGCGTCGGATTGAGTTGATAAAGTCATCTCTCGTGGCATCGTTCTTGAGTTGAACTTGGAGTTGGCCGTTCTGGATGACGACGAAAGTGGGCACGCTCGAGACATCGGAGAAGGCAGCCAGAAAACCGGCTTCGGTCGAGCCCGCTTCGAGTCGCAGGACGACCGCTTTTTGGTGGAGCAGAGTCGACAGCTAGACATGCATCATCAGCGCGTGTTGTGAAAACCTGGCCGAGTCCCAACGTACCCATCCGCTCTTCAGCCACTCGCCTTCCCACTCGTGGCTCGTGGCGCCGTCGTCTACGCAGCTAGTCAGTCACGATGCTTCCCAGATTCCGATAGTGCACCGTCACGTACCTCGAACGAAGCAGGCAACGAGTTTCTGCTCCTGAATGGCAAGCGCGATTCCGCTCTGTAGGCTGCCTTGGTGGAACATGTTGGTGGGTGGTGGTGGTGGCTCCATGTCTGCACTACCGCGGGGATTAGCCTGGGAACCTGCTCGGCGCGTGGTACCGTGGCCAGACGACGCACGAGCATGGCCGGCGGCCGTCAGCGCCCGCTTCATTCAGTGGCTTATTCACACGGCGTTGGAGATGTGCAAAGGGAAAAGATGCAATAAACAGTTCTATCGGTAATGCCAAGCCCATGAATCCTCCACGCCGAAGAAGGGTAATGCTGCAATAAGCCAATGCTAGACTCGCTCTATATCCAAACATCAAGCCAGAAGGTGCTGCACAGCATGTGCCCCTTCTGCTTGGTCCCGCCGTTCCGCTTGGGCTTCCCAATGATGCCGACCGTGTACAGTGTCGGGAGTGAGTGGCATATCCAAGTTGTTGGTCTTTTCCCAATCAGGCCAAAGCCGTGGCCCCTGGGCCCTGGTATCGGCTTATAGGATGGTGCACTTCTTCTTGTTCTTGGTCGCCGACTGCTGGGGACGGGGGCTGAGGACGGCGCTGGGGCAGGTTAGGACAGTCATGCAGGGAGCACATGGGAACATACCGAATAGCTTCGTCAAAGACACTCTTCAGGTTGCGCTGTGTGAGGGCGGAGCACTCGAGGTACTTCTGCGCCTTGATCTCTTTTGCGACCATGACGGCCTGCTCGTACTGGATGGGCGCCATCTTCTTCTGCCTCAACGACTCCTTGGTCGCCTCATCGTCCCTCAGATCGAGCTTGGTGCCGACGAGGATAATGGGAACGCCGGGCGCGTGGTGATCTATCTCAGGGTACCACTGGCAGGGGGTTAGCGGGTGCGCACGCGGCGTGGCGGGCGGCTTGGTACCTTTGCCTTGACGTTGTCAAACGACGGGGGGCTGACGATGGAGAAGCAGATGAGGAACACGTCCGTCTGGGGGTACGAGAGCGGGCGCAGTCGGTCGTAGTCCTCCTGGCCGGCCGTGTCCCACAGCCCCAGGCTTATGGGCTTCCCGTCGACCATGACATTTGCCGAGTAGTTGTCGAAGCTGGGCGAGTTAGCTCACGCGTGGTGCAGCGAGGGGCGGGCGTACACGGTGGGGATGTACTCGCCCGGGAAGGCGTTGGTCGTGTACGAGATGAGGAGACATGTCTGCGCGATTAGCAGGCTGCGCGGCTGTCGCGGGGGCGGCGAGGCTCACCTTGCCTACAGCGCCGTCGCCGGTCACGACGCACTTGAGCGATTGCGTCGCGGGAGCAGCCATGGTGCGCGAGGTGTCGCCCGGGGAGCGTGGCTTTGGCGGACCCGGTTCGGCGGAGCAACGGGGCGGCGAGGGTGGAGCGGATCGAGTCGGGCGCAGGGCAGGGCAGGGCAGGGCAGGCAGGCAGGCAGGCAGGCAGGGCAGGGCAGGGCAGGGCACGATGCAGATGCAGCGAGGCGGCGCGTGGGAGGTAGAGGACGCACCGGCGAGACTGCGCAGCACGATGCGGGTAGCAGGTAGCTTCTGTGAAGGCGCGGGAGCTATCTGCAGCGTAGGGGGGCGTTTTATCGCTTGGCAGGCGGCGGGTCACGAAGCGAGCTGGAGCTGGAGCGACCAAGCTCGACGAGCGCGTACCCTCTTGAAACCCTTGTGCAACACGCTGCTCACGCCTGCCATCCGCCGTGCTAGCTAGCTACGGGCTCGTGCTACGCCTACATGCTTCAATACCACACAAACAGTCCCTCGCCGCCTTGCCTGTCCTCACCCACCAGCTGCTTGCACACCACCAGCCTGACCACGGCCTCGTGCAACTCTCTCATGTCGAGAATGCCGCGCTTCTTCCCGTCAATGTACGACACGTCCACCACGACTCGTTTCAAGTTGGCCGTCGACAAGGCTCCCTCTTGCAAGAGCGCTATCAACCGATCCGGTGTCCCAACCCCGTAGTCGATTCTGCTCTTGCTCAAATGCGCGACCTGGTCTGCGAGCTTCAGGTGCTTTGCAAACAGTTTGGCTACGCTGGGCTTCTCGACTCCCTGGGTAGGTAGCCCAGACTTGAGACATCGGCAGACGTCTGCCGCTCGCATCCCAGAGCCCGTCACTACAAGCGTGTGGGGAGCGCCGGGCGGCTTGCATGGCGTCGCCTCCAGCGTCCCTGCCTGCTTCTTGAGAAAGGCAGGCAGCTTGTCTGTAGTTCGCGGCTCCGTCCAGCTGCTACTGTCCTGCACCGTCCGCGCTGCTTGACGTCAGCATTTCACGATATGTCTCGGGCGCTCAAACACTCACCAGAAATCCACAAGTCCTCGAGCTCGACACTGCTCAAATCCTTCCCGTAAAGCCGTGTTCGTGCGTTGACATAGTCGGCAACAAGCTGACCATCCATGCGCTCGAAAGCGTGATTGACTCCCAGCCCTTGGTCCAGATCGTCTTCAGAAATCGCCTTTGCTTTCTGCTTCTTCTTCTCTTTGCGTTTGGCCTTCTTGGCTGCTTTTTTGCCGTCCTTGCTGGCTTCGGGCTCGGCTTGCCGTTTCCTTTTCTTCGACGACGCGTCAAGATCGAACTGGGCTTCCATCAGGGGCACGCCTCCCTCTGATTCCGAGTCGGACATGGTGAGACTAGTGTTTTGTGTGACGGAGCGACACCTGAGTTTGCGACGGAAAAAGTTGCAGCGCATCGAGCTTCAGCTGCTATCGATAAGCGGCTAGCGCAGATGCACGCCGGGGAAGTCGCGTTACCTTGGTAAGCGACGCGTTTCCCTGACGCCCATCAACACCCGCCTGGGCACCCACCTCGCCCCTCGCATGCCTCTCTTACCATGGCCGAGTCTGCGCGCAAAACGCAGCGCCTTCCCCCGCGGCGCGACTTGCAGCCGACACCCGACAACGACGCGTCCATGGAGCCCACGACACCCTTCCACCAGGCCACTAGTGTGGGCCCTACTCCAGCAAGCAGACGGACGCCAGCTCTTCGCACACCAGCATCGGGCGCGACACCGCGGGGCGGACCCGCAGCTCGCCCTCTTCCTTCGCGCAGGATTGCACCCACTACTCCCCACGCGATACGAGCCCTGAGAGAGCGAGCCAATGCGGCAAGGACGCCAGGAAACACCCGGAGACGAAGCGGCCGCGTACAGAGGGAGACACCGCGGGACATACTGCGCCATCTTAGCAGAGGTACGGCTCTTGCAGCCGCCATCTCTCACCTAGCTAACTGTCCATGCAGCCCTCGCTCGTGAACCGCGCCCGGCCCAGCCCTCCCCACAAGCCCTACCTCGGCGAACGCGCCATTCCGCCCTCGACCTTCCAGACGTCGAAGACGGCCCTGCCATGCCTGCGCCTCGTCTTTCAATGCCCCTGGAGAACATGTACGACGACGACGATAGTTTCCACAGTGCCCCACCACGGCAGTCTCTCCTACCAGACCTACCAGACGACGTCGATGGCGGGACCGTACAATCGCTCGAGTTTGGACGGCGAGCCATCAGTGAGGATCCACGCTTCATGTTCACGGGAAGGCAGAGTGAGCGATTCGGCGACCTAAGCGAGCTCGGGGCGGTCCAAGAGGAGTACGAGGTCGATGGCACCTTCATCAACACGCGCGCAGATGGCCTCTTTGATCCTGCAATCGACGAAGCTCTAGATGGAGACGAAACCACAGTACAAGCACTGACCGGGCGAAGAGACGCAAGGCCGAGTGAGGAGGATTTGGGCGTATTTGGAGAGGCAGAGGACGATTTAGAAGAGCCTACCTTCCGCTTCATGATACCGGAGCGCATGCGTGTGCCAGCCCAAGAAGACGTACAAGCATTTCAAGACGAGCGGGAAGAAGACGAACAAGAGCCGGATGACGAGCTTCTGCACCAGTCCGATGATTACGACTCACTCAATAGCGACGACAAGGACGGAATAGCTGCTGCTTTCGACGGCAAAGACCAAACAGTAACCGCCGGCATGTTAGGTTGGGCATCAGATCCCCCTGCAGACAACGACGCCGAACTAGTCGCCTATCGAGAAGAAGAATCTGCAATTGATCGAAGCCTGCAGGCCAAGTCGCCCAAGCAAACACATGTAGCCCAGATGAAGAGTGTTCGCAAACCGAAAGAATACATGGTATCCGAACACGGTATCGGCTTCCCCTCGTTTCCAGCCGCGCCTGTCAAGAAGCTCACTTTGAGCTTCTTGAAGTCGCAGGGAGGCAAGACCCAACTCAATACGGAAACACTCGACGCACTCGTACGCACGACCAACGACTTCTTCGAGCAGATTAGCATAGATCTCGCAGCATATGCACAGCACGGTGGACGAACGACGATTGAAGAAAGCGATGTCATCGCGCTTATGAAGAGGTATGCTGCTCTACTCGACTCTGTTTGGCGTACATGGCGTGCAGACTTATAGCAGACATATACGTTCGGTACACTGACTTTCAAGCAGGACTCGCAAGACCACCGGTACCTGTACCTCGTTTTCTCTGGCGCAAAGGATGCTTCCTAGGGAGTTACTTCAGCAGCTGCGTATGGAGCGTCCGGCCAAGTTGAAGAGATATAAACGGAAACGATTGAATGCTGTCCGTGAGGAAGACGAAGATGACGACTGAAAAGGCACGGTAATGTCTCACGACCAATCAACGCTGTGGCGTACTCTCCGTTGGGTGCCCGACATGGGCTTCTTGACGACCATCCAAAACATGACTGAGGTCGCGAAACTGAGCGCGTACCTACTTGGAGTTAGATGATTGCTTGCAGGAAAAGAGCGAGGCGGCGAACCGTACCATGTGAAGATGTACTGCGTGTGGTTGTTTCGTAGGTTCACGGTGGGCGCCCTACCAATCGGTACGCCCTTGGGTTCACGTTCATAATTTGTGAGCAAATCAGGCGCTGTGTCATAGTTAGATACCCCAATCACATCATCGAAGAAAGATAGATTACTTACTCATCGTCTCCTCCACCCACACAGCCTGACTCCCGCTATACTCGGCCATCTCCTCGACACTGGGAAAGAACCACTTTCCCTTTTCCGGCTCGTTTTTCGGCGTAAACATGTTGCCCTTGGGCGGTATCCTCAACAAGCCCTCAATCGTAACCTCACCCTCAGGCAACGCCCCATTCTTCTTGCGAAACCACTGCGGCGCAGCGTCCTTCTTGATCCACCCCCTACACGCCAATATCTTATGCACATTGCCGCGCGCATCCCGCCGTTCGAGCGGCGTAACAACCGTGTACCCCTCTTCGCCATCCAAAATCCGCGGCCCAATCAACATTTCCTGATCATGTCTCAACACGCCCCTCGCATAGACCCTGCGATAGTCAAAATCCTGAATTGCAGCCGGGTCGATTCGCAGCGGGAGTTCGAGAGGCGGGAAGGTCAATCTATCTTCAAAGCGGGCGACTAATTCGGTTTTCCAGCCCAGACGCTGCACTTGCCAGCATCCTAGTATGAAGGCTGTGACGGGGATTATCGCGAGGATGATTAGGCCGGGCCCATGTTGTTTTCCTACTCGCGCCATCTTCGCCGGCCGGTCGAGAATCGAGACGAAACTTGGGTCCAGGCCGGGGCCGCCGCCCACTCGGCGACTTTGTGAGCGGAGGAAGAGGATGCGTGTGTGCGGACATTGGGGTCGCGTGGGTGGGGGACGGGCGTGGGCGGTGCGGAAGAATGCCGATGCGGGCTGTGAGTAGTATCGCCGGAAAAGATTGAGGAATGGATTTGGTTTCGACATGGCGGGTGGTTGGGTGGATGGAAAGTTGGGAATGGCTCAGTCGTGTCGGATATGCGAGCTGCGAGCTACCCGGCTGCTAGACGCCGATGCGGTATGGTTCCCGCGTCTTAGCACCCGCCAACCTAAGCCTGGCTCTGGGCTGATCTCGACCTCCCATCGCACTGCTCCTCTTACATCACTCTTTTTTCACTCCCATCCATGCAAGACTGCAACATCATGGCGGATGCACAGGACCCACCAATGGATCGAGCAGAGATGGCTGTGAGGCGGGATAAAGATGCGCTTCTTGATGTTTTGGATACTCGACTTGAACACTATTTGCATACACTGCATGAATATCACGACATTATGCAGCAGCTTTCCGCAGAGCTGTCCTCGGTAAGCAATGTTTACGTTTGGTTAATGGCACGTGGTGTTGATGCCAACAAGGGTTACATGTCGCTTGCTCAAGCAAACTTTTACAATTCGTCCTCTGCGATCCGTTACGGACAGGACTGCTATGACGAACGTATGCAGAGTGTACGCAAGGTGTGAGTTCTACAGTTTCCTTCGAGATTTCATAGCTACCAGGGGTGCTACAACGATCCTCTGGAATGTCTATCTACCTTATGTGCTCTGTTGACAGACCACAGCCATGTCTCCGAACACGGATGTACCAAGAAGAACGATCGACCCCATTTTTCCATCAAATCTTCCGCTACCACTCGTCAGGACGCGAGCCTTGACAACCACATGAGATCAACAGAACAAGCGAACGAAGTCCAAGGACCGGGCCTCCCTTCCACAGGTTCAGAAGCTAGAGAAGGAGAAACAGGCCCTACTTCCGATTTGGATGACGAACCCGCCCAAGGATCAAGGGACAACCAAGAAGAAACCGGATCTGTCGGAAAGCCTACAGATCCTCTCAGATGGTTTGGTATCCTTGTTCCGCCCGCACTACGTACTGCGCAATCTACATTTGTAGGTGCAGTCGAAGGTCCAATCCCCCAATTAGCCACCGTTGTGAGAGATCTACGGGCCCAAGAGATCGAAATTGGGAGGGTGAGGAAGCAGATTAAAAAAATGTAGAGACGAGTCAGGTGCTGCTTGTGGGGATATTAGGGAAGATCGCGCATGAGCACTGGGTTGCGCGCATTCGATATCGTGACTCGGGTTGGCTGCAGATTGTTGCGCGTACTTTAGACTAATCAGTAGCATTACGCGTTGTCGCAACTCTATATTTACTCTCGGCACTGGTTTATGCCGACTGGAGACAAGAGTAGCTCTGGATGGGCGTATAATATGCGATGATTCACCTCCGCTGTATTGGTGGTCAGCCGGAGTAGCATAATAATTTGGTCGTTTTATTCCCATGTGTGCTGGAAGGGGAAGGCCCACTAGACTTGGGACGATTTCTTTCTCGATCATGAAAACTTTGCCAGATCAAGATAGTGGCGCGAGCTGTGCCACCTTTGTTGCTTGTAAAGCAATCATTCATATTGCCAAATTCACGGATATTTCCGGAGAGGGTTACATCAAGGTAGTAGCCATGAGCCTAGTGCTACATGCATCCACATCGTATGGGTTTCAACATTGGTGTAGTATGAACCTCGCCCTATATACAGTCGCACGCTCACCTAGATATCCGCGTTCCTCAACCCTCGTTTGAACCTATCCAACGCCCTAGCTTTCGTTTCTTTCCAGTCCACATGCGGTTTTGGATAACCCAGCTTTTCGAACTCGCTCTTTGACAACCTCGCGTAAGGAGCAAATACCGCCTTTCCCTTGACATCTTTGAGCTCTGGGATCCATTTACGGATATAATCACCATCGGGATCGTTCTTCTCAGCCTGAGAGACGGGGTTGAAGACGGTGTAAGAAGGCTCCCAGCCTTGGGTATTGTTGGAAAGGTCCCAGTCAATCAGAGTTTCGGCAAAGTAGCGTTCGCCGCGGCGGTAGTCGAGCAGGAGGTTGCAGTAGAGATAGGAGGACACGTTCATACGTAAGCGATTATGCATGTATGCCTCGGCTTTGAGCTGCCGCATCCCAGAATCGACAAAGGGTTCGCCTGTTTTGCCTTCATACCATTTCTCCCAGCCTGCTTGGTCGTCTTCCCACTCTACTGCGTCGAATTTGAGATTCTGTGGGAGGTTCATGGAGGTGTGTGGCGTAGTCATGGTTGTCTGTCTGTAGAGTTCTCTGAAAACAATCTCGCGGACCCAGCCGTAGACGCCATTGGATGCCTTGGCTTCGGTAAAATCGGTACTGCCGCGATTGTAATCTACAACTTTCTGCAGTGCTTCGCGTACGGAGAACATGCCCGCACTAAAGTAGGCAGACATGCGTGACGTGCTATTTGCGGCAGGATTTGAGCGTGTAGCGGCGTAGTGGTCAATTTGCTTTAGGAACGCATCCATTCGTTTTGCTGCTGCATCGTGACCGACAGGCCACAGCTTCCGTATCCTCTTTTTGTCTTCTTCCGACTCGAATTGCTTGTCTTTTGCAGGCTGGGGTACGCCTGTATCGAAGAGGCTTTTTAGCTCCTTCTTCGCAGAGGGGGGATTCGCGGTAGGTGGAGGGTTAGTGTCAAGCAATTCCGGCTCGTCTTTCAGCCTCTCGAGCCACGCTTTGAAGAAGGGTGTAAAGACTTTCATGGGTGTCCCAGCACCTGTAAGCATTGTACCAGGCTCGACAACGGTCTGGTCATGGTACAATGAGACTTGAATACCATCCCCAGCTGTTTGGCAGAGTTTCAAATCCCTCCGCATCTCATCAATCTCGTACTCCAAGTTGCCAAACACGTGTGAAATCTCCCACTTTTTCATCCAATCCACTGCTGTCTGTACGATCTTCTTCCTATCCTCGCACTCTAGGAAGACTAGCGGTATGTTCAATTCCTTGAGCTCTTTCTGCATGATGCGCAATCCCTCGCACATGAAGTCGACCCTTGCAGGGCTAGTCCCATGCCACGACTCGTCTGCAGCGCAATTGACGTAAAAACATACGAGAGGCTTCCTCGCACTTTGGGCAAGCTCGGAAGCATGATGCAGTGCGGTGTTATCTTGAATGCGGAGATCTTTTGGACGAAACCAATGCGCTACCTTTGTCACAACCTTGATTTCCTCTTGTGCACCGAGGGCTTCTTGAACTTGATCGTAGGGAAGATTATCATCTACTCGTTTCGCGCGTTTGAGAGTCGTATGCCCGAGTTCGGAGCGTTCGTATGATGTTCTTTTGGACATGTTCGTATGGGTCTGGGATTTGTTCGGCTGTGCGGGCTTTTTTGGCGGTGCTCTACTTTGGAAAAGAGTCGCGTGTTGAAACGCGCGGATCGGTAGTCGTACTTTGACACTAACACATCTATATTGAGCAGCTGCCGGCCTAGGTAGAGTTTGCAATAAGAAGACGCGTTCGAAGGAAAGCATTGAACATGCGCTCTGCGCTTAGGCGTACCTTTGTACCTGATCATCGATAAACCTTAGACTAAGGGTTCAGAGTGGTGACGTCGGCGGACCACCCAACGACACCAACTAGAGCCGATCAAGACGTTACCCTGATGGACACCTGGCGTCGAACACCAATCGAAGGCATGCCTATCGGCGTTTCAGATACAAGATCTGGAGAGATCCTTGGTTCCCGCTGCATTTCGCGATCTGTCGCCGCTTCCTGGGATTTTGGTGCTTTGCATAGGGCTGCATTCGATTCAGGGTTCCAGGCGACGACGGTGGATGTGAGCACGCGACAAACTACGTTGCTAGTGCGAGGTGTTAATGCGACCGACATAATTCCGCTCTAACGCGCAGACAAGGAGTTGCGTAATTTCCATGTTGGAGTTTTGTTGGTCTGACAGATTGACCGCAGCCGAATCACGCCAGCCGGGCACGGTGCCTAGTTGCTGACACGTGATGCGAGTCTTTCGGACTGCGATCAAGCTCTCTTCCTTGAGCTCGTCGGCACCATATCCGTCGACGAGCTAGGCTAGCAAAGCTTTGTCGTGTTGTGTCGATGGCCCTCACTACGATGGCGAATGGAATTGCCCCGTCCGGAGCACACCGTAGGCATCAAAATCCCAGCCGCTCGCAATACCCCATCGCCAAGGGAAAATCTACGGGGATACCAATTTTGGTTTCCACGAGAGAACCATTGAATAGCGAATCAGATCATAGCTGTGCGGAACGTGACGCCAAGATGTACCAAGCCACGCCAAGTCCTCATCCTCCAGCCTTCTATTAACTGGCAGAAACGTGCATGTCTTTCCCAATGAGGCAGCTCGTTAAGATTCTCGATGATGACAGTGGCTCGCGGCGCGGACCAGGCCAGCGGAATGGGGACTGGGCCCAGGTAGCCGGAGTCTTCCTCTCGAGCAGTAAGAGCGCTGTGTTATCGCACGAGGGACGGGAAAAGGCACTTAATGCACCTTGTACTGCAGAGGAAGGCATGCCTCGGGTATGAAATGTGGACGCTAGTAGCTAGATACGCGGGACATAGTCTGATTCGTCTTGATACATGTATGCAGGTCCGGGAAGCTCTGTGAGCTTATAAAGGTTGGAGCAACAGCTTCCCAGAATGTCGGTTCATCGCACTTTTGAGAGTCTTGCCCACTTACTGATCTCTCAATCGCGTTCGTTATGAAGTGTACATGCTCAGCTGTCGTGGCTGCAGCCCTTTTGGTCGGGTCTGTCTCCGCGCAGACATTCCGCCGTCTGGGAGCTTGCCCAACGCTCGGTTGCGTGTTCCCTCCTGACCAGTAAGCATGCAGATTGAACGAGCTCAGAGAGCTCAATTGCTGATACACAACTCAGGGCCGACTTTCTTGCGGGCCAGTACTTCGACATCCGTCTAGAAGTTCACCAGCCAAGGAACGGATCCGAGTTCATCGGTCTACCTCTGGATGAGCAGTTTACCTTCACTCTTGGAAAGAAGGGCGAGGAAGCGAAGCTAGTAACAGAGTTTTTCAACCTCGAAGAACCCAAATTGGAGAAGTGGAACTTCACATGGTACGAAGACCTCTTCGCACGCGACGCTCTGAGGCCCTCCCTCGTCAACGTTGCGGCTAAAGCCTACCGCCGCATCGCTCTTTACGAACCTGGCGAGTACACTGCTACCCTCAACTATAACAATGGAAGCAAGACGGAAGCTACTTGGCTCGTTCGCGACCTGGCTGAGGAGCGCAAGGCCAAGAACATCATTCTCTTCATCGGTGACGGGATGACCACAAACATGATCACAGCTGCTCGTTTGATAGGCCATAAGCAGGTCAACGGCAAATACCAATCTCTCATGGCCATGGACAAATTCCCTGTCGTTGGCCACCAGATGACCCACTCGATCGATAGCTTCATCACCGACTCCGCTAACTCTGCTGCTGCGCTCAACACTGGTCACAAGTCAACAGTCAACTGTTTGAACGTTTATGCGGTACGTGTCTTCCATCTCGTTGCGCACTTGTATACATCATCATTTTACTAACAAACAGTATAGGACAGTAGCAAGGATCCTTTTGACGACCCGAAAGTCGAGAGCATTGCTGAGATCTTTCATCGTCTTACCGGAGGTCACGTAGGAATAGTATCGACAGCATACATTGCGGATGCTACCCCCGCTGCCTTGGTATCACACACCCGTCTCCGTAGCCAGTATGGAGCTATCGTTGATACCTACCTCAATGGTGTCCAGAACTACACTTGGACAAACGTTCCTCTCGATGTCATTTTCGGTGGTGGCGCCGAGCAGTTCTACCCGTCTGAACTTGGAGGTGTCACGTATCAGGACAAGAACTACTATGATGAGTTTGCCGCGCAGGACTATCAGATCATTCAGAACCGCACTGCTCTGCTCTCTGCCAGCAACGAGGAAAAGGCTCTCGGTATCTTCACCACCTCCAATATGGCCAAGTGGCTCGACCGCAATGTCTACCGTGACAACCTCAACCAATCGCTTTCCCCTACTGGAGATGAGACACCCGCTCTTGATCAGCCGGGCCTCAAAGAGATGACCCTCAAGGCCATTGACATCCTCGAAACCCGCTCAGGTGACAAAGGATGGTTCCTTATGTCAGAAGCCGCCAGCATTGACAAGATGATGCACGCTCTCGACTATGATCGCGCACTCGGTGAACTTCTCGAACTCGACGACACGGTGAAGGCCACTATTGACCACCTCAACTCCACCAACTGCCTCAAGGAGACTCTGATCCTTGTCACTGCCGACCACGGCCATGGCTTCGATGTCATGGGCTCCGTTGATACCCACTATCTAGCTGCCCAAAACGTCGACCGCAAGAAACGCAATGCTGTGGGGACGTATGAGCAATCTGGCGAATCCCAATACATCAACACCGGCAATCTGACGTACACGTAAGTTGGAACTATACGAAATGCACGTAAGACATACACTGACATCATACTTTCTCAGAGATTCTAACTTCCCGTCGAATTGGGATCCACGCTACACGCTCTTCCAAGGCCTGATGGCAGATCCCGATCGCCGGGAGAATTGGTCTGTCCGCAAAAATGGTCCCCGCGAGCCCGCCGTCGAAATCGAAGAAGATAGCAACGACAACTACGCTAACCCCGAGGATGGCGAGGGCGGTATCTTGCTCAATGGTACGCTGCCTGTCGAGAACGACCAAGGTGTGCATTCGTTGACGGATGTGCCTGTCTATGCCATGGGCCCATGCCAGGAGCTCTTCCAGGGGACATACAACAGCATTGATATCTTCTACAACATGGCGACTTGCTTTGGCCTAGGAAGAGGCAAGCCTAGTACTGAAGAGTAGAGCGTCTTTTTAGATGGGTGTTGAAGAGAGAGGGGCTCAGGCCTCATGACGACGTGGACGATGATCATGTTGTGGTAGTACTAAAATCACGTCTACTCTAGAGTAGCTGTAATGAATTCTTGGTGATGATATTACTTCGTGCAACATTTGAGTTGTCCTTGGTTCGAGCATAAAGTGTGTTCACACAACTTCATCGCAGGAAAAAGCTACCACGGAAAGTGATGTGAAAAAGTCTTTAGTTACTTGTCGCAATTGCCATAGTTATCAGAATTTGATCATTCATTAGGTTTTACGTATTGGGGTGGAACATGAACAGACGGGCGCTGCCTGAAAGCGTCACAGTGTTGTTATGTAACCAATATCCTGAGAAGGTCTTTGGTTTTGGTTGTCACTAGATAAGCCACTGTGGAGCCAAATGCTATCACAGTTCATGGCAACAGCACCCTAACAACGCAGTTCCTGAATGTTACGGCCAACCAAGCAGATTGCCTCGCGCCTACTAAGGTTTCCACGGGTATCGGTAGCGTCCATCAGTTCCGTAACGAACGTAAGGCTCGACTTCACTTGGACGAAATCATTAGCACCACTTGATAAGAATCTATCCTCACACCGAGAGCAGTGTATTCTCACAACTCCCGCCTATTCTTGGCCAGTTCAGCTTGTTGGCGTAGGTTCGGCGCCGTGGTGCTAGCCTCGCCGCTTTGAACGCCCTGCTCCATATCGGCAGCCCACAACGCAGCGCCAACGGTGTTTGTGAAGGAAAAGAAGATTCCGGCAATCGGGACGAGTTCGAGGAGGACAGCTGGGATGCCGAAACTATGCAAGGTTAGTGGTCTGAATATGACTACACGTAGACGGACCGACCTAGCATATGCGGCCTTGCGCTCGTCAATGAAGCGCTCCTTCTCCTGCTTCTTCATCTGCTTGAGTTGGAAGTAGCGGGCATGTGCGGTGGGACCAAACTTGCGTCCTTGGAGGATGACGAATAGTACGGTGCCCACGACTGGGATGAAGTTGAGCGGAAGGTACATGAAGTATCGGATGATGGCGCTGGGGGCGAATTTTGCGAAAGGCTTCGAGACGAGCTTGCCCAATTTTGCGACGGGGTCGCTCCCTGACTTTACCTGGCGCTCTTTGGAAACCAATGTGGTCTGGTTACGGCTGACCAAGGTTGAATCAAAGGTATCAATAAGCGCTTCGTCAATGAGGAAGTTCTTGCTGAGAACCGAGAAGATAGTGGACGACTCGCTGAGTACGAGTAGAACCGTGGTGAAGACTGCGAGTGGTCCGTTGAAAAGGGTGAGAAGTGCGACTTGGGGAATGTATGTGACGGCAAACATGAGCACGGTGACACCAAGACCGAGCGAGACAGTAGGGACCAGTTTCGCAGCGAGAGGCTTCCATAGAGCACGGTGTGTGAAGAAGTACGCAATGCCCTTGGGTCATGTCAGTGTTGTGCTTTGAATGCAATCCCCTAGTGTGGTCGAGAGGGCCGAAAAGCACTCCCAGACCGGCCTCTCCAGGCAAACGTCGATGCAATGTAGGTAGCAAGGATTCAGACGCGTACCTTGAAAGGGTAGAGATATGCGGCCGAGCGGACAGCTTCTGAGGCAAGCTGTCTAGCTTGGTTGAAGTCTTCCTTGGCGACTTCCTTGACCTTGTCGGGTACTCTCACTCTGGACTCTGACATGGTTGCAACGGATAGATCGGAAAGGTTAAGAAGATTAGGAAGTAGGGAAAGGCGTCTGAGTCGTGATGGAAGACAAGTGGTGTTCCCTTGCCCAGGTGTTGGTGGGGTGAAGCTATGGAATGTGGAAAACTACGTCATAATCGCGTACTTGGCCCAAGCTCCAATCCTAACAACGCGGACTCTGTCCCTGCGCCAACTACGTCGTTTGAGCAGATAACTTGTTACCGCAGGAGAGAAGAAACCCGAGAGATGGTACATGTTGATTGTATAGAATGCCAATAAGGCAAGCTGGGACGGTAGCGGATCAGTGCAAGGCACGTCATACAGTGCTGGTTTTGCGCATTTGCTTTGAGGTGCAGGGAATCCTGCGTAATTGCAATGTCAGGGCAATTTGCTGTCCCGCTGATGCTGCAATAGTTCAGAATAGTCCACCTATGGGCGATGGCTCAGGAATGCATTTCCAAGGCACAAGTTCAGGAGTGAGTCCATGCCGGATTCGCACGCTTCTAGGCCCTTGACAAAGTACCCACCGTGGCCATTGTGCCAGGTAAATGTGGCGGTGTTATCAAGATTTTACAGAAGATCTGCTACAAACACGCGTCAAGGACCAGAAATCCGATGCAAGACAGGGTAAATCAGGAATTGAAGACGTGGCTAAGCTTTCCTCTTCCCCACTTTCCATGCACCGGATCGCAAAATGACGCAGCGCCAGCCGCGTGCTAGCCCCCACCACAACCGAACCGGACATTGGCTAGCTGCATCCGTCGCGAAGCCCCTCATCGAGGGTCCAGCGCTGGAGTGGCTGATGTAATTAGCCAAATCTTGTGGCAGCGGCAGACAGGAGAGAACGCCACGGCAGGTCTAAGCTGAGGGATTAGGGAAAGAATACCGACCCATGGCCGGTTGGGGCTTGCAATGGCCACGTTTGAAAACAACAGGCACATCGTGCATGACGTCCGACACGAGTTGAGCCAGGTATTCACCAGTGGCTGTGCTAGGGGATAGAGCCAAACGCCTCGTATACTCGAAAAAGCTGCGTGGATGTGCAGCCTACGTTGGGATAAAATCAGCAATTTAGAAAGCGTAGCGTCAATGTAGGCTTCAGCGTGGTCAGCACTTCCCTCGATCAAGGTGCCAAGACCAAAGTAGGAAACAGGGATGTGAGCAGTGACTGCCCAGGTGCTGTTTGTACGACGTGTGCTGATGCAAAGGCATGACGTAGGACCATGGGTCTCTCTGACTTTGGCCCTCGCCTGTGGTGTATATATTAGACCACCAGCGCTTGCTTTTGGTGACCATCTACGCAACGACGACCACCACACCCACGCAACACTCTAATCAACTTCATTCAAGCCCAATCAGCTATCTATACCACCTCTTATTCAAAATTCACACCGCGATCATGTCAGGAGTGATGGACAAAGTTAAGGCCAAGGTCGATCAGGTGATGCACAAGGACAAGACCCATGGTAAGCACTTCCTGCAGACTGCCGAGAGCCTGAAGACCACCGTCAGCTACTCACACTTCTCTAGATGATCCCACCGGTCCTCACAGCTCTCATACTGCCAACACTGCCGATCCTACTGTACCTAATACTTCCAATGCTACCACTGGCACTGGGGGCTTCTCCGGTACCCACCATAGCTCTGGTGTAAGCACTGGCCTCGGTACTTCTGGTAGCCATGGCGAGCGCAACCCCGAGTACACATCTTCTACCCATGGTTCTACGGGTCTTGGATCATCAGCCACTCATGGGAGCACTGGTCTCGGGTCCTCAACTACCCACGGCTCTACCTCTCACAATGACCCTACCGGTCCTCACGGCTCCCACACGATGAACAAGGCTGACCCCCGGGTCGACTCCGACCGTCTTGGAAACGCCGGTAACACTGCTGGCGCAGGCGGTTATGGTGCTGGACAGTATACTGAGTCCCACGGCACCCATGGTACTACTGGCAGCGGCCTCACCGGCACAGGGCTCGGCTCTTCGACTACTGGAGCTTACAGCTCAGGTAACAGCAGTGGACTGACTGGTGGTCACGGCACTGCCGATTTCAACGACCCAACTGGTCCCCACAGCTCACGCATGGCCAACCAGGCTGACCCCCGCGTCGGTGGTGTTGGTAGCACTGGAGCTGGCGCATACAACACTACGGGAACCGGTCTCACCGGCCATAGCACTACCGGTGGTCTTGGACACTCCCACAACGACCCTACCGGCCCCCACGGCTCCCACATGGCCAACTCTGCCGACCCGCGTGTTGGGGGTGTAGGTAGCACTGGCGGTCTTGGCCACTCTCACAATGACCCCACTGGCCCTCACAGCTCTCACATGGCCAACTCGGCCGACCCGCGTGTCGGAGGTGTAGGCAGTACAGGCACAGGAGCCTACGGCAGCAACGCTGGCGGCATCGGCTCAGGCAACATGGGCCAAGGAGGATACACCACAGGTGAGCACGTCAAGACCGTCCCAGGGGAGGTCGAGGGAACAGGCCGTGACAACCTCTCTCACCGCAATAACGAGAGTGGCGATCTTCCCAAGGCCCTCACCGAGCCTGTTTCCCACGCTGAGCCTCACTCTTCTCTGCAACATGACCAACACGTTTCAGGTGGCGCTCACGGCACTCATGGTACCACTGATGTTCACGGCAAGCCATCCATGATGGACAAGCTGAGTAAGTCTTCCCCATGCGGTTGAAAGTTGGATTGACGCTGACAAGACACTCTAGACCCCAAGAAGGACGCTGACCACGACGGCAAGACTGGCATCATGGACTAGATTTGTCGTCGTCTTTTTGCCATCTCACTCGTAGTGTGTTGCGAGAGCAAGTCACATGGTGGTTTTGATGGTGTGATTTGCATGAATACCCCCAAGTAGCGTAGTAGCTCAATGAATAGTAATCTCCCTGTCAATTTGGTTCTGTCGCAGTGCTCGCTCTTGATGAGCAATGTTATACTTGTCTGTTATATGCATCCATGATGCTGTTAACATAGATCTGTGATTTCGCATGTACTCGCACATGGGGTATATCCTCGTCAGTGCACTCAGATCAAGTGTATATACTCCGTGCAATGGTGTCGAAATTATAAGAAGTTTGATTAGGGGGTATCATTACTTTTTGCACAAACTTGCCAATGCATACGGCGACCACTCGCTCGCCGTATGACGGGAGTGAATTCAAATATTCAGAGGTTTCGAGATGTGTCGCACAGCCCAATGGACTCTGTGAAAACCCATGGCCATGAAATCACTTGGCTTTTCCCTTGCCCCCCTTCCTGTCTCCTTTACCACCAATCCCTTTCTTCTTGTTTTGGTTCAACGAGCCATCAAGAAGCGCGCTAAAAGTCTCACTCCGCGTCTTGGGCGCGCGATCTGGGGTCGGCACTACAGGCTCGTCTTCCTGTGAGTTTTGCGTCGAAAGCCTCTTGTTCCTCGTCCTCGTTACGCGCTCCTCTGCTCTTGAGGGTGTTGCAAGGCTGACTGTGTCCAAGTCCTGCCTGGTCTTTGTTGTCTTGTTGTCTCTCTTTGCGGGGCGACGGCGCTTTTTGGGCTGCGGTGTGCCGGTATCTGGCGCGGGTTCTTGTTGCGATTCGGCAGCTGCGTCGACGCGAGCTTTCTTGGGAGCTGGCTCTGCTTCGTCGGAGCCTTGCAGGACGTGGCTGTCCGAATAGTCCTCCTGAGCATTGAGCTCGTCGACAGCCCTCTTGCTGGACGTGGCGTCAGTAGACTCGAGGGCGTTGCCGTCGGAGTCGAATTTCTTGTTGATATTTTGAGCCTTGAGGTGGGCGCGGGCCTTCTCCTTGGCCATGCGCTCCTGCCGCTCCAAGTCGTACCTGTCGTTGCCAGCCAGGCCGTGCTTGATGAAGCGTTGGGCCGCGCCAAGGTCTAGTCGCGCTCTGCCCTCGGCGCTGCCCATGACGCCGCGGTCCTTGATGTGCTTGATCTTGCTGTTGTACTGCTTGAGACGGGCAATTTCCTTGAAGACATGGTGTTGCGTGGCATTGACGCCCGACGCCTTGAGCACGGAGAAGAGAATAGCTTCGATGGCGTATGCGGACATGCAGTAGAACTCTGCCTTGTCGAGGAGCGGGAGAGAGGACGCGGTCGTGTGAAGAGGCGCGGCCAGCAGAGGGTCGAGCGCGGCGGTGAGCTCATCGATGTTGACTTCGAGGTCCTCGACGAGGTCGGGGAGGTCGGTCTGCGGGTCCATGGTGGTGATGGAGGTCAAGCGGTCGCATGCGCACGCCAAAGAAAAGTAGCGGGCCGAGCGCTCCGACGTGCAAGCGTCGGATCGCTCACAGCAGACAGCCTCACTCACTCGCCTCGGCCCCGAAGCCCATGGGAATCCCAAGTCGTTCAAGCTGTCGTTCTCCTCCGTTTCACCCTTTCTCCCCAGGCTCCGGCCTCGGATACCACACGCACCATCACGATGCGCCGCCGGTAGCCATCGCCCACGCCGGCTGGCTTCCGCTCGGACGAGAGCCTTCATGACGAGCTGGCCGCCAGACGCTACAGCAGGCAGCACGGGCGCAACCAGCCACACGGCCGACTTCTATCGCAGACAGCCTGTACTCGACCGACGCATTCACATAATCGGTGTCGGCAACGTGGGCAAATTCATTGCCCACGCCCTGCGCGGCATACCCAACCCTCCTCCAGTAACGCTGGTATTCGGGGGCTGGCAAAAGTTCAACGAATGGAACGACTCGCAACGCCGCCTGGCCCTCGTCACCGACGGCCGTGTCGACACCAGAGACGGCTACGATGCCGAGCTAGCCATCCCCCGTCTTCGCTACCATGGCCACGAGGTCGGCCTGAATCCCTCCTCGCTAGACACGACCCAAGGCCCTCAGATGCTGCCTGGCGAGTCTGCTGAGCCCATCAGCTCGCTCATCGTCTGCTCCAAAGCCCCCCATGTCCTGCAGGCCATCTCCGCCGTAAAGCACCGGCTGCACAACGACTCGGTCGTCTGCTTCCTGCACAACGGCATGGGCGTCATCGACCAAGTCAACGCGGCCGTCTTCCCGGACCCTGAGCACCGGCCACACTATATGCTCGGCATCAACTCTCATGGCATGCACGCCTCGCCACACAGTCGCTTCACTACTGTCCACGCTGGTTTCGGCACCCTCTCGCTGGGCATCCTACCCCACCAACGAGACGGCCATGCCAACGAGCCCTACACCCCCGAGTTAAGATTCTCCGCATCAAGAGATGGCAAGCCCGTCTACCCGCACCCTCCCGACAAACTCAATCCAGAGTACCCACCCCCAAGGAGCGCCAAATTCCCCTTCACGCCTAACCAACGCTATCTACTTCGCACCCTCCTCCGCACTCCAGTACTAAGCGCAGCCTCCTTCTCGCCCCCCGATCTCTTGCAAATCCAACTCGACAAGTTAGCCGTCAATTGCATCATAAACCCCCTAACCGCCCTCCTCGACGCGCGCAACGGCGCCATTCTGAACAACTACGCCTTGACCCGCACAATGCGCCTCCTCCTATCCGAGATAAGCCTCGTCATTCGCTCCCTCCCCGAACTCCAATACATTCCCAACGTGTCCCAGCGCTTCGACCCAGGCCGCCTTGAAACCGTGGTTGTGGCCGTTGCACACCGCACCAGCGACAACGTGAGCAGTATGCTAGCCGATACGCGTCAGGGTGCGCACACCGAGATTGACTATCTCAACGGCTGGATTGTGAGGCGAGGCGAGGAATTGGGTATTCGATGTGCCATGAACTATATGGTTATGCAGTTGATCAAGGGCAAGAGCATGGTGGTGCAGCATGACATGGAAGAAGAGCTTCCCCTAGTAGGGAGTAAGAAAGGGGGGAGGGCGGAGGCGGACTTGGTGATTAAGAGGGATGGCGCGGAAGCCCACAAGAAAGGCACACCGTGAGACGGCATTCGTCTTTGACGCTACGGCCAAACCTTTTGCACAGTTCGACTACACAGCGCTCCACGGGCTATCAGAATCAATACTAGATACAATCCGCAGAGCAGAATGCGCCATCAGTCGCCATGTCCTGTCCCTAGAGCGTAGATCTGCTTATATCCCGGCTTCTGATGATGCACATGTCCACCCAAGAGCCGGTAGGCATAACAGTAGAGCAATCGAAAGAACAGTAGCGTCCTTGTAATTCTCTCGATACCAAAGAAGTAAACGACAGATTGCGATTAGTAGAACTGCAGGCGATGGACATGGTCAATGTGTATATTTCTTCTCCTACTCTTCATCGTTTCTCTTTCTTGTCCTATCTTCCAAGAGCTAGTATTAGATAAAGCTATAGTACATTATGTGTAAAGACACACATCCAACATGTTTAGTCAACCAGACCAATAATACTCCTGCCCACCGCAAACCCTTCCCCCAAAGCTTCTTAACCAGAACAAAAGACTACCAGAAGAACTCCCGGTATCCATCAAACTCAAGTTCCCACCATCCCGAGACGAGAACTAGCAGCGAAGATACCTCTCTTGCTATGTGTATATCCGACAGTAACGGGTCCGTAAACCTACCCCTCTAACAAGCCACTGAAGATGCTCAACAAGTAAAGAAAAACAACCAAAGCATTCGCCTCTTACTCGCCGTATACAAACGTCAGCTAGGATAGTGTAAGATGATTGAATAAAAGAGTAATGGTCGTGTAAAACTCCAAGCACAGGACCGGTAAACAGCGAGTTACCCAACAAGAATCAGCCAGTTACTGCATCATGTATGGCTCAGTCGAAAGCACCAGGCATGCTCGTACCGGGCATCCTCAAACTAAGTCTACTGCCACTGGCATCCTTCTCTCTGCTCGGCAAAGCAGGTGCAGGGTTCGAAGAGGAGCGTTGACGCTGTAGGCGCGGATCCTCCAGCTTCGTCATTTCCTGTTCCTGTTCAGAGACCGCTGTTGCTTTCCTGGTATCGAGAGACTTGTTCACTTCGTCTTGGAGTTGAGCTTCAGCTTGCTGTTCAATATCCTTTTCCTCTTCCACTGTCAATGAGGGTATTGATGGGGCTGCAGTGACAGACTCATTCTGACTACCGTGGTGAGCTTCGGCTGACGATGTTTCGGCTTCCGGATTGGCGATTGTCTTGGACTCTGAGGTCAAAGCGTCGTTGTGCTTCAAAAGGACCGTCTTGCCAATGGAAATTCTCTTGACCTTATCACCGCTTTTGCTCCGAAAAGGGTCTTCATCGCTCTTCCTTGGCTCATTCGCCATCGACGCAGCAGAACCACCTGCTGTGATGTCTCGAGGCTCAAACGACATGATGCTCTCTTCACTCATCCTCTCCTCAATCTTCACATCGCTGTTCGTGAATGTGGGACTGCGTGGGCCATCTCGCAAAGGAACGAAGGAAGGAACCACACCACCACCAACGCGAGTCCAGAACATGCGTTCGCGAAGTCGCACACTCTCTTCCCAGGTCGACTTCTTTTCTTCATCCGTCTCTGCGCGCCAGTGCCCCGCTGCTACCATGCGTAGGAAACCAATGTAGTCGCACGTTGCCCGAACGCGACCCAGACACCAGTCACACAAGGGGTAGCGCTGAGAGTCTTCAGTATCGGAGGGCTTGAATCGAAATTTTCGGGCGTACTGATCACCATTCCTTGCTTCGCCACAAAGCGAGCATGGAAAGATGGGAACCCGAAATTTGGATGGAGGAGCAGGGTTCGGCTCTACGACCAGGGAACCAGAAGTGATGCTGTTCAGTACCGTGCGGCGTGCCATCCATGAGAGACCGGGGGCGATATCCAGACGCAGTGTTGGCTCTATGTCCTCGACCAGAGCA